TGGGGGGGATTTGGGGGGTCCTGGGGGGGATTTGGGGGGGATTTGGGGGGTCCTGGGTGGGTTTGGGGGTCCTGAGGGGGTCCTGGGCAGGTTTGGGGGGGATTTGGGGGGGTCCTGGGTGGGTTTGGGGGTCCTGAGGGGGTCCTGGGCAGGTTTGGGGGGGATTTGGGGGGGTCCTGGGTGGGTTTGGGGGTCCTGAGGGGGTCCTGGGCAGGTTTGGGGGGGATTTGGGGGGGTCCTGGGTGGGTTTGGGGGTCCTGAGGGGGTCCTGGGCAGGTTTGGGGGGTCCTTGGGGGGGTCCTGGGGTGTTTTTGGGTTGGTTTCGGGTGTTTCGGTGTTGTTTCCAGGTGGTTTTGGGGTGGTTTTAGGGTGTTTTTGGGGTGTTACTGGGTGTTTTCAGTGTATTTTGTTGCATTTTGGGGTGTTTCGCTGGGGTTTCTGGGGGTTTTGGTGTGGTTTTGGGGTGTTTTGGGGTGTTTCGGTGTATTTTGGGGTGTTTCCAGGGTGCTTTTGTGTGTTTTTAATGTATTTAGGTGTTCTTGGGTGTTTCGGGGTATTTTCAGGGTGTTTCAGGGTGTTTTTGGTGTATTTTGAGGTGTTATGGGGTGTTTCCGGGTGGTTTTGGGGTGGTTTTGGGGTATTTTGGTGTGTTTTGGGGTGTTTTTGGGGTGTTTCTGGGTGTTTCCGGTGTGTTTTGGGGTGTTTTTGGGGTGTTTCCAGGTGTTTTGGGGTATTTTCGGGGTGTTTCCGGGTGTTTCCAGGGTGTTTCTGGGTGTTTCCGGTGTGTTTCGGGGTGTTTTCAGGGTGTTTCCAGGTGTTTTGGGGTATTTTCGGGGTGTTTCCGGGTGTTTCCAGGGTGTTTCTGGGTGTTTCCAGGTGTTTCCGGTGTGTTTCAGGGTGTTTCTGGGTGTTTCTGGTGTGTTTTGGGGTGTTTTCAGGGTGTTTCCAGGTGTTTTGGGGTGTTTTCAGGGTGTTTTCAGGGTGTTTCGGGGTGTTTCCGGGTGTTTCCGGGTGTTTCCGGTGTGTTTTGGGGTGTTTTTGGGGTGTTTCTGGGTGTTTCCGGTGTGTTTTGGGGTGTTTTTGGGGTGTTTCTGGTTGTTTCCGGTGTCTTTTGGGGTGTTTTCGGGGTGTTTCTGGGTGTTTCCGGTGTGTTTTGGGGTGTTTTTGGGGTGTTTCCGGGTGTTTCCGGGTGTTTCCGGTGTGTTTCAGGGTGTCCCAGGCCGCCCTGACCCCGTTTCTCCCCCCCGGCAGACGTTTACGCCTTCGGGCTGGGCGAGGACGCTCACGCCGAGACGCTGAACGCGCTGGCGTCGCACAAGGCGGGGGAGCAGCACCTCTTCTTCCTCAGGGACACCGAGGACCTGCAGGAGGTGTTCCACCGCATGATCGGTACCCGAGAGCCCCGGAACAGGCGGAAAAACACCCCAAAAATACCCCGAGAATCCGCAGGAAACACATGGAAAACGGCCAGAAAAACACTCCCAAAACAGGCAGAAAATGCACAGGAAACACACGGGAAACAGGCAGAAAAACAGGCAGAAAAACACCCCAAAAACAGCGAGAAAATATACAGGAAACACACAGGAAACAGGCAGAAAAACAGCCAGAAAAACACCCCCAAAACAGCGAGAAAAACAGGCAGAAAACAGCCAGAAAACAGCCAGAAAACACCCCGAAAATCCACAGAAAACAGCCAGAAAATCACCCCAAAAAACACCCGAAAACCCACCCCAGAACAGCCAAAAAACACCCAAAAAACACCGTAAAAACACCCCGAAACCCCCCCAAAAAACCTGACCCCACAAAACACCCCCGAAACCAACCAAAAAAAACCCCAAAACCCCCCAAAAAACCCCAAAACCCCCCAAAAAAACCAACCAAAAAAACCCAAAACCCCCAAAAAACAACCCCAAAAAACGCCCAAAAAACCCAAAACCTCCCCCAAAAAAACCCCCAAACCCCCAAAAAACCTCCCCAAAACCTCCCCAAAACCCCCCAAACTTCCCAAAAAAACCCCCAAAAACCCCAAAACAACCCCAAAAAACCCCCAAACCCCCCAAAAAACAACCCCAAAACCCCTCAAAAAACCCCCAAACCTCCCCCAAACCAACCCCAAAAAAAACAAAAAAAACCCCAAAAAAACCCAAAAAAACCCAAAAAAAAACCCCAAAAAAACCCAAAAACCCCAAAAACCCCAAAATTGCCGGAAATCGCCCTGAAATCGCCGCGCTCCCCCAGACGAGAGCTCCACGCTGGGGCTGTGCGGGGTCAGCCTCGAGTTCGCCCGCGCCGAGGACAGAGAGAGAAACCCCTGGGAGGTGACGGTGACAGTGACGGTGAGGGGACACCTGGGGACACCTGGGGACAGCCCAAACCTCACCTGGGGACACCTGGGGGGACCTGGGGACACCTGGGGACAGCCCAAACCTCACCTGGGGACACCTGGGGGGACCTGAAATACACCTGGGGACACCTGGGACACACCTGGGGACACCTGGGGACACACCTGGGGACACTTGGGGACACCTGGGGACATCTGAGGGTACCTGGGGACATCTGGGGACACCTGTGGATATCTGGGGACACTGGGCGGGACCTGGGGACACCTGAGATACACCTGGGGACACCTGGGGGGGGTCGCACACACCTGGGGGGACACCTGGGGACACACCTGTGGTACCTGTGTCACCTGTGGGTGACAGTTTGGTGTCCCCGCAGAGGCCGGGGCGGGGCCAGGACACACCTGTGTCACCTGGGGACACACCTGTGTCACCTGTGGGTGACAGTTTGGTGTCCCCGCAGAGGCCGGGGCGGGGCCAGGAGCGCTGCCAGGGCTCGCTGGTGTCCCCTCACTTCGTGCTCAGCGCCGCTCACTGCTTCACCTCCAGTGACCAGCCCGGCCGGCTCAGCGTGGACATCGGTCAGTGCGGCCGGGGGACACCTGGGGACACCTGGGACACACCTGGGACACACCTGGGGACACGTGGGACACCTGGGGGGAGCTGGGGGACACCTGGGGACACCCGGAGACACCCCACGAGTGTCCTGGTGACACCCCGAGCCTTGGGGACACCTGGGGGAGCACCCAGGGTCACCCCCCACCCCCTCCCCGGCACAGCCGGCCCCAGACCCCAGCGGGACCCCCTGAGCTGGGGGTCACCCCCTGTCCCCGATGTCACCCCCTGACCCTGGTGTCACCCCCTGACCTCAGTGTCACCCCCTGCCCCCAGTGTCACCTCCTGACCCCGGTGTCACCCCCCCCTGTCCCCGGTGTCACCCCCTGCCCCCGGTGTCACCCCCTGACCTCGGTGTCACCCCCTGTCCCCGATGTCACCCCCTGTCCCCGGTGTCACCCCCTGCCCTCCCCAGGTCCCCGGGAGCGCCGCGGGGTGTCGGGGCTGTTCCTGCACCCCGAGTTCAGCCCCGGCGCTCGGCGCCACCGCGGCGTCCCCGAGTTCTACGACTACGACGTGGCCCTGCTGCAGCTGGAGCGCGCCGTCACCCCCTCACCCGCACACCGGTGAGGGCTGGGGGGTCTGGGGGGGTCTGGGGGGG